ATTAAATGATTCGTTTTGAATAGTTGTATCATTATGAATATTACTACGTTTATTGCTTGCACTAGATAAATGCTCACATAATTTTGTGAAGTTAATTTGAGGAGATCTAGCTCTATCTAATTTAGCTATTTCTCCGTTTTAACTGTTTTTCCTCATTTTTCATTCGATCATAAAGCGGTTTTACGACTGTTGCCCATTTATGGAACTTTGAGGTTTTAGGTTTACCATCTGCTTTCAAATGGACTCGAGAAGTTTTCAAAATATTGTAATAAGATTCCATATCTTCTATAGTAGCAATTTTTGGTTCTTTCTCGAATAATAAAGACCATAGTCCTACAGTCCATGGATAGTATTTATTAAGCAGCTGTAAGTTACCATGGTTAAAAGTTACAGTGTAATCTCCTATTTTGAATGAATCGGTGGCTGTATCATAATACATACCATATGATTTATCATAATGTTTCAATTTAAAGAAAAATAATGATGGGAAAAGGTTGATCTTAGCACCAGGTCAGTCAGGGGGTGTAGTTGCCTTAATACCTATATTTGCAGGTCTGTCAGCACTTGGTAGTCTGATGTAAGGAGGTGCTGGTGTGTCTAATGCGTATAAAAATTCAAAAAGAAAAAAAGGTGGTGGTTTATACTCAACCAAAAATAGGATGAAAAAAAAAACTGATAAAAACGCTACCTGACAGACCGCTGTCGTCTCAAGATCTTATAAAATATGCTAGAAAGTTGAAAATCAATCATTTTCGCGGAGTCTTTTCACGCGATAACTTACCTAAAAAACCGTATGCAATTGAATGCGGCATATTAAACTTGGACATATCTTCAGGAGACGGAAGTCATTGGGTAGCGTTTCATAAAAATCAGGAAAAAGTTGTTTATTTTGATAGCTTCGGCGATTTACCTCCACCAATTGACTTACAGCGTTATTTTAAAGAGTTTAAAATAGTATATAACTATTCTAACTATCAAGATTTCAATACATTTAACTGTGGTCATCTCTTCATCAACCACCAACACTAAAAAATTGGTCTAAGGCTATAATAGGTATTTACACATGTCTCGAGGCATTATTTTTAAAATATAAATAAATCAATATACATAATTTATATATTTTTAAACATGTTCATAGTATATGAAATATACAAAAAATGAAATAGATATTTATATTACCTATATAAAATATACATTACCATTTTTTTTAAAATATTAAATAATAATAATAATTTTTTTTTAATTGTTTAATAGCATTTCAAGAAGTTTGTAAGAAGCTGCAAAGTAATGGTGTGAAGTCAGTGTTGTTGAGGAACTTCAATCAGGATTCACTGGAAAACATGTTCGGTGCGTTAAGAGCATTGGGGTATAGAAATAATAATCTAACATGTCACCAGTTTGCATCATCCTATCGAACTTTGCTACTGAACAATTTAATCTCGGCACACTCACCCGGAGGCATATTTACATACCATACATTGCTACACGACCGGTCGTTTCTGATTGGCTCATTTCAAATAGCCCGCTTTAATTTGTAATATAATCATTATCATATCGCGTTATCAATCATAATATTGTATCATAGTCCACCGATTATAGATAAAGGTATTATAATATGATATAATATAAAAATAAAATATTATTATAATATATCTAAGTAATATAATAATATTATTATATATATTATATATATCTCCAGTGAAGAGTTACCATTAGGCATTAGCTTACAAGTTAATAAAAAAAAAAATGTAAATAAATAATATGAGTCCACCGATTAATATCAATATTCATTTTAATCATATTATTTATAGAATATTAATCATAGAATTGAATATTGAAAATTGAAATGTAACTCTTGAAAAAGTAAAGTTTACCAAGGTGGCAAGTTAACATGGTTTTACCAACGAATTACTCTAATGTTATTTTAGAAAAAAGTGAAAACTTTTTAAAATGTAAATCAAGTTTAACAAATTTAGTTGATTGTAATAATTGGGTTGCTGAATTTGGAAAAATTAACCATTTAAAATGGAACTCGAGAACATCTACACCAAATGGAAAAAAAATTACTTGTTCGTTAGTACCTTCCTTTTAAAGTCATTTGTTTCATTATAAGTACATATTATAAAGTATAGTAGCATTATATTAAATATTGTATATTATACTATTAATAGGTATTGTGGTTATTGTAAATGTTTTATAGTTTTAACATAAAAATATTTTAAAAATTGATAGATTATTGTGCTATACTTCCAAGCTAAACATTTTGTTAATATCTATTGTGTCTCTGTTAATTATACATTTTACTTAAATTTTTTATACATGATTATTATACAATGCATGTCATTACTGGGTAGGGTTGGAAGTTGAAAAACAATACTTATGTTAAAGGTCGGCATTAACAAGTTAAAAAGTTAATTTATTTTATTTTATTTAACTATATATATTTTACTCACGCCAGAACAAACTATCACTATAATCCTCTAATCAAGAACCTTGCGTCTTTTACCATACCCGGAAATCTCCCAAGGCGCCTAAAGCGTAAGTGGTGCCGAGATCTTTTAATTAACTAACTTGTAAACTCTCCTGTGAAAGTTTCGCCAATGGGTGGCTTCTTTCTTCAATTTTATCATGTCATATTTTTACTCAGAGCCTATATGCTTATTGTGTCATTTGGTACATATTGTATATTACTTATTTGCAAATATAAAAAAAAAAAAAAAATATATATTTTATAATTGATGGCCTATCACATATACATAAACATTGGAATTGTTTATATTTCTATATTTGACAATAGATTAACTCTTTACTTACAGGTAGGTATATAAAACTGCAGTTGTTAAAACTAATTAATTAAATCACTACTTCTAGTGCGTAAGACAGAATATTAAAATTTTTTTATCTGAGAAAACAAAATATTTAGATATTTTAGTTTCACTATCATTATATAATATCTGTTAATTATAAACTAATTAATTTCTGTTTAACTGAGTTAAGTTATTTTTTTTTTCATATTAGCTTTAAAATTTTATAGTGTCTAGTTAAAATGTTAAATAGGTATATCTAATGTTAACTATTAGGTAACTATTATGGTTACATTCTAAAAGTTGCACTAATATTTATCCAATTAAAGTTAATTTTTTGTTATTAGCTTGCCCACCTTCACATAGCATGAGGATATTATAACAATATGCAATATGAACTTTGTTATACTTAAATTAAAATAATGTTTTACACTTCAAGTACCTATATATTTTATCTATTAAGTATTATGTTAATTGTTAGGTAATTAGGTAGGTGTTTTATTAGTTATTTGAAATATTAAATTAGTTTTAACTTAACATATCTATTGCCTTATTTATTGTATTAAAATATCAGCAATATAATACTATGTAACTTGTGTTTTTAATTCAATGAATTCTAATACGGTTCAAAATTATTATTTTGCTATTTATAATTTAACTAATATAATAATATAGATAATGTGAAAATGTACATAATTGATTGAATATCATATTATTGCCAAGGTGAATTTGTATCAATCCACCTTAATTATTTCAAGATATTTAATGTATATAGTGAGGGTGATTCAGAAAGCATATCCACATATTTTTTTAATTAATAATGCATTTATTGAACATCTGATTTTTGAAATTTTTAAATATTTTCAGTCTACAGAAAATAATTTTGAATAGGTACCTACCTTAGATTTTTTGTTTCACTTTAAGAGGAATAGTTCTGTGGTGATACATAACTGTTTTTAAATGAGAAAAATTAAAATAGAAAAAAAATATTTATTTTAAATTATTCAGTAGATATTATATAATTGAAATTGTTTCTAAATAAATCAACATTAAAATGATTAGTTTCTGAGTTAATAAAATGTATACTCAGGGTAATAATATTATAAACAATCTGTATTTAATATGTATGTTTACAATATAATTACCTACCTATAGTCTATACATATTTTAATGAATTTAATAAAAGTATCCCAATTAGGTAATATATTTCAACATTATAGGGATAAGTACAATGTTTTGATATTGAATATTAAATACTGAGCTTGTAAATGTTCATAAGAAGATTGTGATTAAATATCTTTGAAAAATTAAATTGAAATTTTTTCAATGTACTCATAGGTTTGCTTATAGTAATATTAAAATATATACTCTACTATTATTCAATATCTACCAATTATTTATTTTTTTAGAAAAAAATTTGTTTGTCATCATAGTACTTTCCAAAAAGTGTCTAAGGAAGAAAATAAAAAGGCAATTCTAAAAATGCTAACTGTTCTGCAACTATAACTTGTGTTATTAAGCTTGATACGTTAGCAACTAGAAAATCAGACACTTTTATAAAGGTGAGTTTGAGTTGAGAAAAAAATTGTCACAAAAAATGAAACGCATATATATATAAGTATTGTGTGTACGTCAGTTTCTATAATGACACCAATTTTACACCAATTGTTTTAACGGTTTATATTTACAGGGTGATCTTTTATCAAACAACACTCATTATTTAAAAAAGTATTGACTTTTTTCAATAAATTTTTTTTCCAAAATTGTAGATTTACGCTGTTCTAGAATTTTATATTTTTTTTATATTTTTCACCCTTATATTAATTAGGCAAACTACTATCAACTTTTGATTTTAAAATGGTAACCTATACTTATAATTTCATAAACTAATAAAGCTATTTTTTTTATGAATTATCACGTTCAAATTTTCATTTTTCGTTAATCTGTTGATGACATATTGTTCCTCAAAGTTCGGTGGTTTTAGGAGGCGGTTATCGTGTGTAAAGTAAATGTGTTATACCTCGCCAGTAGATACCACAGTTATTAGAGTTTGTAAGCCCCAGGTTTAAAGATATTACATTTTAAAATCAATTCAAGTAGGTTAGGTTAGGTTGAGTTGTGCCCCTAAATGTATGGGTGTCCGCCGTTCGCCCCACTGAAGGTGATTTCGGCACTGGTCATAATAATTCTTATCGATTATAAAGACCAGAAGTTAAAAGTATTAAATCCTATATCGTTCGAACCCAAGGTAGTGATAATCATCGTGCTTATTTGCTACCAGCAACAATAATTTATTGTCATGATGTCATATTTTAAGTAATTGGACCATTAGTGTTCCTTACTCGCGTGTAATAACCTAGACCCCATTACCTATTAAGTATGGCAGTGGCGTGTTGAACTCATTTTTGATGAGGAGCAAAAATTGATGCAAGGTACCCACCCATCCCCCCCCCACCCCTTAACAAAAATTCCACCACAGCAAAAAATAAATTTTTACAAAATATCTGTAATATTTGTAGATTTGTATAAACGGTTGTAACTACTTAATTAGTTAGTTGTACTCATAAATTATCTTGTATCTTGATTTGAGTTAAGTATCATTGGCCGGTATAGATATTAGTTAGCACCAATTGTAACTAGTCTAATGGACCATAATAATACAGCAAACAGCATGCTAGTGCACCAAATTTTTATTATCACATTAAAAAATCTAATATTATATTATAGTATCAATGTATCATTAATATTATGTTTTATATATTTTGTATAAGTAAAAATAAGTTATAATAACAAATAACTAGGTATAGGAATTTTCATACTTTGTACAGATTGTTACGAATACTTCAGAATATAATTTTAAAAAAAAGAATACTATGACAAAAACAAATTTTTTATTTAAATAATAAATATTTTTGTAATAATGTTGATGTTGATGCATATTTATCTAATGCCTCTTCTAAATCAATTGAAATATCCTTTTCACATGACAGTAAAATTAAACTTTCCAAGCGGGTTTGATGCATGGTAGATCTCAATCTGGTTTTAATTAATTTAAGTTTAGAGAAAGATCGCTCATTTGACACTGAAGTAGATGGAATGGTACACAAATATTTATAAGCTGTATATAAATTGGGGAATGCTGAAATCAAGTTGTAAGAATTTAAAAGTTTCAATATTTGTATGGAATTGAGTTTGGTTTTATCAGTTGTACTATCTTCATTTTCAGAATCTTCAGATGAAGTACTATTCTCATAATCATTACAGGATTGGGTTGATTCCAGTCTTATAGTATTTGATTGTTCCAGTGTCATGCCTTTCTGAAGTTTCATTATACATGAAGAAAATGAAAAATATTCATTTTTTAATTCACTAAGTTTAAGATTAGGTATCCATTTCACTAGTGAAGAAAATGAATTATTTGGGACTATCAATCCTTTATTGACATTTAATATACGATCAAACGATAAAAGAGATAAATCATATAATATTGTCCGAGAACCTTCAAATCTACTGTTTATTGATGATAAAATTTGATCTACAATGACAAAATACACTTCTGTTCTAAACTTATCATCTGGTTTTGTAACACATTGATCGGATGTATTTTCACCTGGCATTCTTTTTTTGCGTCGAACACGTTCTTGAGGAAAATCCATTTCAGTAAGGCCTTTACTTATGGCGAATTGTTTAGCTTCCATCAATAAATCATCTGCACATTGAACTGTTCTAATATTTTTAATTTTTTTAGTAGTCGAATCAACAATACTTAGTGCCTGAATAAAATCAATAGATGGTGATTGAAGGTATTTTGATAAAGGCGTGGTAAATGCAAAAATATTTTTCATTAACAGAAGATTTGTAACAAATTTAAAAGATGATAAGATTTCTAACAAGTTTTTAGCTGTAGATGAACAATCACGATCCATAGATTTTGACAATATTTCTAAAGTGTTCATTACAGCATCATATTTGTTTTCAATAACTGAATTTGCTTTGTCGTGTGATGTCCAACGGGTTGAAGAAAAGTTTTTTATTCTGAGAACTCTATCATTTGGAGAACACTTTTTTTGTTCTTCTAAAAAAATCGCTGTTCGTTTTCTTGCTCTCATAAAAGAAATGAGAACTTGCATATCTCCAAAAAAATTTCTTATACTAATGCATCTGTCACATGTATCAACTACCACCAAATTGAGAACATGTGAAAAACACCAAACATACAAAGCACGAGGATTCTTTTTTTGTACATATGAACGAAGACCTGAATACTGCCCCTGCATAGACGCGGCTCCATCATATGTTTGTGCGCATAAGTTATTTATCCAGTCTAAATCATATTTAACGCAAATATTGCATAGTAAATCAAACATACCTTTGCCAGTTGCATCATTTGTAGATTCTAAAGCCACAAGTCTTTCTTTTACTTCACCAAATTCATCCACAAACCGCAAAATCAGAGAAAACTGTTCTATATTGGAAACATCAGTAGTGGTGTCGATCATAATTGAGAAGATTCCAGCTTTTTTCACTTTTTTTAATATTTGAGAACGAACGATATCACTCATAACTAAAAGCATTGTGTTTTGACTGTTATTAGATAAAAAAGTCAAACGATTTTTTTTCTCGGCAGATTCAAGTGTAGCGATATGAGAAGAAAGTAATGCATTATGTTTAGCAAAAAGCTTAATTAATTCAAGAAAGTTTCCCTGATTATTAGATAGCCAAGATTCATCATGACCTCTAAAAGATGAATTTTGACGAGCGAGATATAGTAACACTTCTAATATTACTTTTACAATCTCTCTATTTTCAGCAACTTTGGTATTAGAGTTTTGTAAAGATTTTAAATCTACTCTTTGATTACTCAAATACATTACTTTTCTAACCTCTGACTGCAAATGGTTTGGTGATGCTTCATGATTATCAAGTTTATAAGAAATATGTCTCCAGTCGTTTGAACCACACCTAGCAAGTTGGTTAGATTTTCCATCTGTTGTGCCAAATTGTTTGCACACTATACAATAAATTTTATCCTCAGTTGGAGAATAAGATAACCATTTACGTCTAACAAACTCTCCAGTTGCAATCTTTTTAAAATAATGTTGCTCATGGAATGACCTCGAATGTTTTCCTTGTTTTCTTAAAGGAAATATACCGTTTTGTAACTCGGTTGGTTGTGGTTGACATGGTTCTTGATGTGCAATTTGTGAAAAACGTACTATACTAAAATATACACATTATAATATTAATTTTTAAAAAGTATTAAATAGAATTTAAAACTTCTATTTAAGTTTTTTTTTTACATATTTAAAACATTAAAGTTTAGTTTATTTAAATTGTTATTTTAATAACAATAAATTATTTATTTTATAATAGTAGGATAATGATTACAAAAATTATCTCGCTTCTAAGTCTTTAATTTACCTGATACATTATCATGATCACCATTAACATTTTTAATGGCTATTGAAGTATTTAAATCTGGAATAGTAATATCTAATGTTTTGTCTTCATTGTCCATAATATCATCTACATGAATACCTTCGCATACTGTTAAATGTTGCTCATCTGAAATCACAAATAATTTTTTAATACTGAAAATAAAAAATTTTAAATCTGAATTTAATTTTTTCTTTTTTGAAAAATTTAAAACACCCATTTGTAAATCTGGATTTTAAAAAACTAGATTGTAAGAACAGTTATTCAAGCCATATAGTTAATTTTTGAAATCTTATTACTTTGTTAAGTAAAGTTGATCCAGTCGTAAAAAACATTTAAATCAAAAAAAATATGTAAATATAAAATATAATAGGTACCTAATTAATATTTAAATATTTCATTCTTGCAAAATAAAAATAAAGATTATTGTATTAAACAAGTAGAGCAAAGATTCAATACATAATATGAAATAAAAAAATATTGATTACCTACAACAAGTTATTTAATTTATTTATTTATCAGATCTTCCTGTTCCTGTATTAGTTTATTATTTTTTAATAAATAATTTAATTTACCAGTCATAATATCTTGATCACCATTAATATCTTTAACAGTCATTGCACTATTTAAATCTGGAATAATAATATCTAATGCTTTGTCTTCATTGCCCATATTATCATCTACATGAATATCTTCGCATACTGTTAAATGTTGCTCATCTGTAATCATAAAATAATTTTTTTTACTAAAATTAAAAAAATTAAAACCTGATTAAATATAAAATGCTATTCATAAGCCATTTAAGTTCAATCTATTTGCAACAGCATATGCCATACTGCCGTTCTATACGACTATTCAGTGTTTAATTTAATATATTATATAGTATAAAAAATACGATTAGAAACTAGTATGTTTTTCAGATTCAACAAACAGTAGTTACATATAACAATATAGGTAGGTCCTATAGAAGTATAGAACCTATACCATTTGAATTGGTTATTTATGAAAGGTGAAATATCACAATTTTTTGGAAAATACTTTTTTAATAAATATTCTGAGGAAATAAACGTATAGCTTAATTTTGAAAAGAGTCAACTTTTTACCCCATTCATAAATAGGTAAACATTTTTCCAATTAAACTGTTTTGATAATAACAGCTGTTAATACTTTAATAGTACCTACATGAACATTTAAAATATTTTTTAACATGCAAATTTGTATGAGAAATCAGTTATTTTTAATTTCTCGAAAGTTTCACTTTTTGGACTTGGGGGGGGGACTTTCATAAATAACCGATTCAATTTTAATTATAAAAACTTAATTGTAAATAACTAACATCTAATATTTGTAGGTAGGTACCTAGATAAAAAAAATATGAAGGTAGTTTAAAATTTAAATTCTACAAATAAAATATGATACATAACAATAATATTAGTATAATATTTAAGTGGTATAGTACTTACCATTTATTTTTATTTTTTTAGCATCAGACTCAGTAGAACTAGAAGTCTTCAAAAATCTTTTAAAATATGTATTTAGATATTTTGAAGATGAATTTTTATTTTTTATCGTTTTGCACGCATTTAAATGCCTTTTCCAATTCGTCGGATTTATTTTCATTTTTTTCTTACCACATAAACATGCTTCGTCGTCAGACATGATTAAATCAAAATAAATAAAACTTTAGAAAACCAAAATGGTCACAAGTCACAAGTCACAATGCTTCAAAATTATAATTGATGTGTTATGACTTTATGAGAATGAGAAAATGTCGTAGCCGCACACTCACGTCTCGCACTGGAATATTGGATATAAAGCAGACAGTACGGACTACGAGCAGAGTATTACCATTGAATATTGATTAAAAATATTTATAGTATTTAATCAAATACGATAACAAGCGCTCGCGCTGTTTTCTATTAATAATTCACCAATATTATTATGCGGGTATAAGCAAAGGCGGTCGTTGAGCAAATTTCTAGAAACGAACCAGCTTATCTGTGTTTTCCTAATAATAATAATCATAATGCATTGTAACCGACCAACAACAACAGTCTGCATCGGATAGACCGATATTTTTGGCGTACTGATTTACTTCTATAATATTAACAGGTTTATGCTGTTGAGTGAGTGTAGCACACTAGCACGTACCTATGTGGCTATGTCTTACACAAGTAAGACACATATTCGTATACATATTAATATTTTCTATCATAAACCTATTCACCAAGGTAGCTAGGTATTTTGTGGCAAGGGGACCACCCACCCACCAAAAATTTTGAAGGAGCAATTGCTCCAAAATAATACCTTCGCCACGCCACTGAAGTATGGAGTACCGACAATTTGTGACAACGGACACAACAATACAAGATTGATGTCTGATTAGACTGAATTGCGATTAGGTAATAACAGATAGTACCTAAATAATATGTTTATCGTGCTCTGTGCTGATATCACAGAATAGATTTAATCTGTGCCATACAGTAAACTCTATGATCTGTGCAGCTGATATCGTGGTTCCGTGGTTACACGATATGGAAGTTTACCTCATATTGGGTTAGCGTTAATCACATAACAATAGGCGTGTTTTGGCGGATTAAACTGTTTAATAAATAAGTTTATGGTTATAGAATACGGTTAGAAAACGTTTACTAGAACGCCAAAACGAATTGCTTGAACATGTTTACTGAAATATTTGATAACACTTATCATAGAAATACCGGGCATACAAAAATACAAAATACAAATTTCTAAAATCAAGTCCAAGTATAATAATCTCTACTTGTGTATAAGTTTTTATTTTTTACTAGTGTAAAGACATTTGTACAATACTTTATTTTGTGAGCATGAGTTTTTCACGGAAGAAGTTGTCCCTGATTTTAATGATGATGAACGACATTGTAGAGTCTGATGATATTGTTACTAGCAATATAGTAATGACGAAACCTAAATGTAATTTTAAAAAATTAACTTTATTAAGTACAGTAATTCGGAATGAGCATTTTCGTCCAAAAGCTGATATTGAAGACTGGATCATTAAGTATAGTGCTCATGATTTCCATGTTAACTATAGGATGACCCAAGACACTTTTTATAATTTACTTAATTTCCTACAACAAGTTTCCTGTTCGTCTCTGATAAAATCAATGAAATCGTAATTAGTACTTTCCATAATTAAAATTATTAAAATGTACTTGTGTATTATATAGGCAAATCTACTATTGGTTTGAATTATGTAAAATTACTTAAAGTAAATTTATTAAATTAATATTTTATTGTTATCACGTTTTTATCATAAACTTTTTAGTAACCAAATCTCAGTAAACCCTCTTACCAGGTCGAAATCGACGGTTACAAAATTCACTAAACTCGTTCACGAAATTAGTTACCCGGTTACAGTAACCGTAATCGCGAAAACGATATCAGTAAACAGTTAACTAGCGGTTAGCGCCGGTTACACCGCCAAAACACGCCTAATACTTTAGTAAATAAACGGTTAGGTTATAAGATAATAATTACTCATAAGAACAAATATTGAATCGTGACTCGTGGTCGTCGGTATTTTATTTTTTTAATAAAATACTTAAATACCTATTAGTTCTTGTATAATATAATATAATTATTGTCTTATTTACCACATATTGTATTTTATTTAATAATTGAATACTTTAATCAATCATATAAGAACCTAAATTGATTAATCACACTTGAATTGGATGACTGGCGATTACATTTGTACAATATATTGGTAAGTACTATGTTTTACCAGTTGGTAATTGCAAAAATTAAAATAAATAATACAAAATGTCATTAACTTTAGATATTTTGATTTCAGCTTAATCATTTATACATAATACAGGGTGATTCAAAATTTATGTTACAGCCATTTTAACATATAAATATTCAAATTAGTGAAAAATGTATGGTACAAACGTTTTTTGATTTAGAAACATCTATTATGATTTCACAATTTTGTAATTGTTAACAACATTTTAGGGGGGGTTTTGGGGGGTCAACTTTAGAAATTCAAATGGAAACCTATAACCTATACTTTTTTGCAATCATAATGTGGGGGAATTTTTTTAATGAAATTTGTAATATTTGTTCTTATATTTTACTATTTAAATTTTATTTACAATATGATATGTATCCAAGTCATAGTAATGATAATTTATTGATAACATATGGAAATATATTTGATTTTTTTTGTTTCTTATTATTTTATTGCTTATTATATTTTATAAGTATATTATATCCATAGTAGATCAATTATTTAAATATAATTTTCATGTTTTTGTGCTTTTTTTCTGTGCATATTATTTGCAATTAATCAAGAAACACATTAGTATTAACATTCCAAAAATACTTATATTCTATTCATAATTTTCAATGATTTATCAATGGATTAAATATTGTTAATCTGAGGGAGTAAAAATGTCTTAAAGGTATTCTAACATTTATAATTTTGCTTCAAAAACCACTATTAAGTACTGAAATTGTAGTCATTTAAAATAAAATTATTACTTTTTAATTTAATGAAATCAGTTAAAAATCATCTTTTAATTGTGTTACCCACTAAATTTACCTTCAATTTATTTTATTGATGTGAAAATGAGCCATACTTTTCTGTGATTTTAATATCTATAAGTACTATTATATTTCTTTCTCTATAATATGCATACGTAGTATTGTAAATACATATTGTATTTATTGAATTCAATTTGCTAATACATCATTCATTCATCACGACGTTGAGCCGACAACCAGTAGGCCGACAAGATATAAAGCCGACGGCGTTTGGCCGACAGGATATCAGGCCGACATGGTATCTAAATTGTATATATTAATGTTTTAAAATAAAAAATTGTTTACTTAATTACAATTTATTTTCGTCTAAAAAATATTCGATAAAAATATGTAAACAATTAATTACATATTTTAATATAAATTTAATTTTAAAATATTATGTTATTGTTATTGTTAAATTAAAATATATTTAATATCAATATTAATAGTATAATCGTCATAAAAAATTAATTACATATTTTAATATAAATTAAATTTTAAAGTAATATGATATTGTTAAATTAAAATTGCAAATCGTAAAAAAATTACATTTATAGTTTTATATTATAAGCTATACCTTTTAGAAAATCTATCAGGGCCCTATTACCTTAATCATTAATAATATTATTTAACCGTTTCTTACGAGCAGCATATTTTGGATGTTGTCGAAGCTTTGGTTCTCCAGATAGAATTAGTTCAATTTGACCTAAAACATTAGATTTAATTATGAATCATAAATGAAATACATATAATGTTAAATAAATTATATATTACTACACTAGTATACTAACCTATTGTATTCATCGGTTCTTTTTTCATTTCTGAAACAATATGTAAACACCCAATATGATCTGCTCCAATTAAAGTCTTCCAACGTTTGTGCCATGATTCTACCTTGTTTTGAGTTCGAGGTATATCTAATTCGTTGTTATGACTTACTGACCAAAATTCTGGTGGAAATAAGGGTGGAGACCGAGATATTGTGCCATTTCTAAATGTTCGACGAATTTTCCCATTTACATAAGTCTCATCAAACCAATTATAAATCTCGATTGGTATATACTGTTTTATTTCATTAAATGCTGTTAATATTTCATTTGGTTGTAAAAATGCCAATGCAGGAATATAGCGTAATTGTAAACTAAAATGTTCATCGGTACCATACGCAGTAGCCCATCCACACGATTGAATTTTCCTCCAAACATTCTGCGCCAAATGAAAAAAGCACCCTTTTTGGACACATTCTGGAAATATGTTGTGTATTGCATTAATTGCTGCTTTTTCGAAATCAGTAATTATACAAGCTGGATTAAGTTCACAACCATAGTTATTGCCTATCTCAATCAGATCTTGAAATAAGTGTTCATAACATTTTTGATTTTTACTTGACATTAAAACATAAACTAATGGAAGAATTCTCGAGTTTATTCCTCCAACTGGGGCGTGAATAGTGTACATTTGTAAAAATATATTTGGGACTGTCTTGAAAGTCCCGTCCATAATCCAAAATTTAGCTCTTACAAGTTTTTCAATTTCAAATTTAGTTGAAAAAATCAATATTTTATCGTTTTCTATTTTAGACTCACGTAATAGAAATAATTCTCCAGCAAAAGTATTTCGTAGGCTTTCAGGAATATTAATATCTTCTAAAGTTGTTGGTTCGGCTGGTAAAGATTTTCTTCTTCTACGTTTAATAATTTTCCGTACAGCTTCAGGACCAGGTAAATATGGTTGAATACTTAATGGTATATTGCTAACTACTTCTTGCAAGATTTGCGATGGTTTATCATGTGTAGAATGTGCTCGTTTTTTTATATCTGATCGAAAATCTATAACTGTTGCCCTGTGAGCTTCGGGTGCGTGGTTATGATCTGTAGGCGTGCCACAAAGTGTATGTAAACCATTGACACAATCAGTCGTAGCTCTGGCATTACAATTTTCATGCGTTTCTAAAGTTTTTCTATGGATTCTTTTTTCACACTCCCAGTTGTACCGATTTTCACGCACTTTATTTCGGACCATAACATAGCCATTTATAATAAGTTTGTGTTCAACAAATAACACTCCATTATTATAAAATAAAATACGATGAAGGCACAAACCTCACTGATTCAATATTATATTAGAGAATAACACATCGGCTCTTCGGTTGTATGATGTATATTACTGGTTCGATATCTTATCTCAAATAATTGCTTTGATAAATATCGATATAATTTGGAAATTTTGGATATAATATCTTTATCGCAATAATAATATCCGACGGCTCTTCGGCGGTCGGCTCGACGGTTGTCGGCTCACCGTCCTAGTCCCTTCATTACTTATACAATTTTTAAGCTTGGTTAATTTGATGTGGTAAATGGTAAAAATGTAATTCACATTATTATTTATTATTTTAAATTAATTATCATTAGACCTCTACCATGACATAGTGTCTGCAAGTCAAAAGTGATATATTGAAGACTTATTAATAAATTGATAAACAAATTACCATTACCAACATTCAAGTTAATAAATCCAAGTAGGTAGATGCCTTAATTGGCTGCTGGAAAAATTTAAACTTAAAAGTAACATATTATGTGTTTGTTTAGGAAAACAATGTATTATTATGTATATTATTGAGTATAAATATTGAGATAGGTTTATTGAGATATATATTTTAAGATTATTTAACTATAATATTATCATGATTTTAGTTACTTATCAAGATTTTTTCTATAATTCTGTAGTGTCATCAATTATTGAAACAATTTAACGCATTTTGTCAATTAAAATAGCTTTAAACATTTAAAGTTAGAATACCTAATGATATTAATACTAAACCTATCTAATGAGTTTCACTTTACTTCGAAACAACTTTCAAAATGTAATATTATTCTTAATTTTCAATTTTAACTACCTAACTAATTCCCTTTAGACAATTCTAAATTATGAGTAATCTTATTGTCTAGTTAATATTTGTATTTTCAGTATAATATTGGCAAGCATACATTTTTAATTTTAGAATTGTCAAAACTGCCTATATGTATATTATTATTTATTATAAATTAAAATATTTCCAAGTGTTCACAATAGTTTTCATCTCAGTAATATTATTAATATTAATATTTAAAATAAATGATGGGTAATTTAATCAATTTTCAACTACCTTTGACATAAAATTCAGAAGATCCTGTATGTTATCATTCATACTGCTATGTATAATTACATTTGAAAATGGTAACTGTGAAAAATAAAATAATGTTTCACATATTGGATTTAAATATTTCAACAGACTACAAAACAAGTAAAGTATGTATAAATATTTTTAATTGTTACATTATTTAATTATTATATTGAGAATTCAACTTTTTAGATATTTAAGACAATTGCAATGGAGTGGGAAAAATGTAGCTGGATTAAGTACATATTACCAATGATGTGTATTGAAACTAAAAATATTGCTAATTTTAATGTTTTGTACTCTGTATGATATTTTATAATTAATTTAAATGAGGTGACAACATCAATCAATACAACTCAAAAGATAATATAATGTATAATGGAATAAATAATAAATAATAAATAATGTGAGGTAATATCAGAAATAGTCAATTTTACAAACATAAAAATTCAAAAAATAAGAGAACATTTTTCACGAGTTAGAGATGCTAAAGATACCTATATTATAGAGATGAAAGCAATAATAGGTTTACTACATTTATCTGGTTCTTTACGATCGTCCCATCAAAATTTATGTGATTTGTGGAGGACTGATGGATTAGGTGTCGATTATTTCCAAGCGACTATGAATATAAGAAGATTTCGGTTTATATTACAATGTTTGAGATTTGATAACGTTAATTCTAGAAATACTCGGATAAAAACCGATAGATTAGCTTCTGTAAGAAACATTTTTGATGGCTTTGTTGATCGTTGTCAAAAATATTATACAGTTGGTGAATATGTAACAGTTGATGAAATGCTCGAGTCGTTCAGAGGAAAATGTAGGTTTATATATAGTACCACTAGCTACTGAATTACTGAAAAAACACAGAATAACCATGGTAGGGACTATAAGAAAAAACAAAAGGGAAATACCTCCAAATTTTTGTCATACACGTGGTAAAATTATACAGTCGAATATGTTTGGATTTACTAAAGACATGACACTAGTTTCCCACGTGCCCAAAAAAAGTAAAATTGTGTTATTGCTGTCTACGATGCACCATGATAATGCCATAGATTCCAATTTAAATAAACCTGAAATTATTACATTTTATAACATGACAAAAGGTGGTGTAGATGTAGTTGATGAGCTAAAAGGAAACTATTCAGTTGCGAGAATAAGCCGTCGTTGGCCTCTTACAATTTTTTACAGTCTTTTGAATATCGCAGGAATTAATAGCCAACTTATATACAAAGCGAACAATAATTGTAATATAAATAGACGTGAGTTCTTACAAACACTTGGTAAGCGACTTACAATGGGCTACTTACAACAACGTACAAATATCAAGACATTACCAATAGAGGTAAAACGAAAAATTGCTTCAATTTTGGGTGAAAAATACATAGAACAACCTAACGCTGGACCAACTCGTGAAGAAGATGTTACTACTGTGATCGAAAAAAAAATAGAAAAACAAAAACGCAACGTAAAAACTGTGAAAATTATATTTGTAAGGAACATACCGTAACGTATTGCCAGAAATGTTGCGAAGATGCACAACATTCATCAGATAATTCAGAATATTAATACAATTATTATATTTTTCATTTATTTATGTTATTATTATTTATTTCATTTATTCATTTAAATAACTCATACATACATAGTATATAGTATATAAATTTAAATACAATTTGTACATTACTTTTTTAAAATTAGATACCTAATTTATGTACAAGGAAATAACTTTCAGTTTCGATTTTTTTTTTTATAAATAAAACCATAAGTTATTAAAGTTATATGAAAATTGATTTGTTTCAGTAATATTACTAAACATATACCTATGAAACAACGTTTTTTTATAATTATTTACTTGAAAATTATAACGCGGTCGAAAAGACCGCAGTGCGACTAACTACGTAATATACACTAGTGCGACTAACGCCGGGTTAAGGATTCAGTACTCTCAAGAGTTAAAGCCTATAATGTTATTGCATTATTAGATTTCACTTGCACTGTGTTGGAAGAACATTACTGTGGGCGACTAATGACATTTGCTTATTGTAGAAATATAAAAAATAGAGAAGCAAGAATTTTCTTGGACACATTAATTAAGAAGGCAAATTATGTAAAAAAAAATCAAATTATTCATAGCGCACAAAATAATTATATTGTTCCAAGTGAAAAAAATCCTTCAAGTACTTATGACGTTAATTTAGAAGCTGGTTGTTGTTCATGTTCAATTGGGAAGTATGGCAAATTTTGCAAACATCAATGTGCAGTATATATACATTATGATGAAATGTCCAACAATTTCCCCCCTGTTACTCCTCAAGATAGACATGAAATTGCAATGCTAGCATGAGGAGATAAATCTCTGAAAATTGATTTTTTTTCAACCATTTTATGTAGAGAACTCTGCATATTTAGATGAAATAAATATTGCTCAAACTGTAGTGATCTCTGATGATGAAAGAATATTAGTTGAGAAAAATAAAAGTTCTGAATTTATCCATGAATTAAATGAAACAGATAAAATGCAATCTTCTTTAAGCCATGAGATAGCAGACACAAATAAAGAAACTTATAATGCCTTTCAGAATATATTAAAATTAATGAAATTTAATGACACAAAGTATGGTTCATCTTCTTCTGGAATACAAACTCTTGAAACACGACTAAAAAAAATTACAAGTGAAGGACAATGAGAGACATTCTTGCATACAGCTGGAAATGTATCAGTACCATTACGAAAGAGATCTGGTGCAAAAAATTCTGTCCAACCGACTTCTATTGCTAGACGGTCACCAAATATTACAAGAGGGAGTAAAAGATTACCATCAGGTCGACCAGCTAAATGTGAATCTGGTATAAAAAAAAGGAAAAGAAATCTTGGCAGTAATGTAAACGCTAACTTACCAAATGCAAAATCCCATGGACGTGGTCATTAATACATTTAAAATATATTTTTATTTTCATTCTTTATTAGATAGAGGTACCTAGGTACCTAATTATTAATTATATTACGTGTTTTTTAAAAAAAAATAATAAGGGTATAATTTAAGTCCGAAAATGTTAAATAATTAAAAAAAATTTACAATTATGATATAAAATATATAATAAAATATATTCATATTATTTATTTACATTTTTTTTTTTTTATTAACTTGTAAGCACCATTGATGCAGTAGTAAGTAGATATTCAGACTGGCGAAGGTTAACCCGTGCCATCGCTTGGCTGAGACGGTTTGTGGAATATTTACGACTTAAGAGAAAAGCATCTTGGAGCCAGTATCTAACTGCCCAGGAACTGCAGGAAGCGAAAGAGGTATTAATAAAAAGAGCACAAGCAGAAGCATTTGGAAAAGAGGTGATAGCGTTGAAAAATGGTATAGAGATACCACGCAAAAGCAGCCTCAGATCACTATGCCCGTATATTGACAACGGACTGATATTAGTGGGAGGGCGCTTACAAAACGCGACTGTTTCAAAGGAGCAAAAAAATCCAATAGTACTGCCGCCTGATCATTTAATATACAAGGACTGCCATCATAGAATGCTGCATTGTGGTCCGCAAGCACTCCTAGCAGAGGTCAGAAGGACATATTGGCCAACGCGAGGCAGAGCAATTGCACGCTCAGTTGTTTGGCAGTGCGTCATATGCAAGAGGGCGAGGCCCACGTTTGACCAGCCGATAATGGGATCACTTCCGAAGCAACGCGTTCAACACTCTCGTCCATTCACAACTACTGGTGTTGACTTTGCAGGGCCGCTGATCATCAGAAGTGGAATACGCGGAAAGCCGGGAAAAAGGCATGGATCGCAATATTTGTCTATTTCTCAACGAGAGCAGTCCACATCGAGGCAGTGGAGGATTTAACAACCAACGCTTTCGTAGCAGCGTTTAGAAGATTCATATCTAGAAGGGGAAAGCCGAGCATGGTGAGGAGTGATAATGGAATGAATTTTATTGGAGCACGCAAAGAGCTAGCTGTATATGTGTCCAAGGTTGATGGTTGTCTAGCATCAGAAGGAATAACTTGGAAGTTTAACCCGCCTGCAGCGCCACATTTTGGTGGCATATGGGAGGGCGCAGTGAAAAGTGCCAAATTCCACCTCACCAGAGTAGTGAGAGGCATATCTTTAACCCTAAGTGAATTGCAAACACTGTTATGCCAAATAGAGGCATGCCTGAATTGTCGACCCCTTTCGCCCATGAGTAGCGACCCCAATGACTTGGAACCAATAACTCCAGCTCATTTTCTAATAGGAGGCCCGTTGATGTTCCATTCAGAACCAATGATCGAAGAAAAGGAGATTACAGCGTTAAAGCGATGGAAACTAGTTCAAGGGTTGCTTCAGAGCTTCTGGGAAAGGTATTTTTGATCTTTTAAAATATCTTAATTTATTATCCATGTGTGCCAGTGTGGCATTGTCACAAGGTTAATGATGATTTCTAACTGTGTAAAATATTATTGAATGCATTAATATTTGGAGTTTATTTTAAAATTAAATGTAAGTATTTTTCAGGCGCAAGTGATCCGGGTTTTTCCTACAAATTTTCTATTCGGTTTTCTTCGGCTTTTTCCTTGCGCACTCACTGCGGTTTTTCTACCCAGTGCTAATTCTAAACATTTAATTGTTAGAAATATACGTTTTATTTCGGTTTTAATTGTGTTTTTACTATTTATAGTTTTCATTTTTTACAGTGTTTTTTTTTATAATTTAGTTATTTTTTAGTTTTCATTTTTTATAGTGTTTTTTTATTATTCAATTATTTTTTAAAGATGGTTTTTCTTCTTTATTGTTAGGTATTGTTAGTTATAGTTAGGTATAGTTATCTAAGAAAGTTAATTTTAGTCGGCTAAGATATACAAAAATGTCGTTGAATTACTATTTCAGGTGTAACAAACCGACTACGTTCGTTTGATGGTGTTGAGAATAAACGAAGAAGAGTTTGTTTTTCTTTATAAATTGAATACTTTTATTTTGATTAATACAAAAAAAACAATAAATTTACTAAGTGCAAAGTGACTATATTAAATAATGAAGACTAGCGAGATGTGACTGTCATATCCTAGCTCCTAGCTTGTCGTTGGTGTTGGTCCGTCTGCCGAAGCCTATTCGAGCGACGTATTTTATAATGGTGATCCTTGGATCGTATCCCTGCTTATTATCCTACTACTTTACCATATAAGGTAATACCGTGGGCGGCCACGCGCTGCACACGCCGGATGTCCCTTGCCTATCTGGTCGTTGTCATCTCTATTGAGGCAACACAACGCTGTTAGAGCCCGTTCACACGATCCCGAATCGGCGGTTTTGCCGTATCGGCGATTTGACCGTATTAGCTAGTGTCAATATAATTTAAATGCGTATATTCAGACGATACGGAATTGTACCGTGTTCGATAAAATTACCGATTAGGTCGATTTTGTCATTCGGTTTTGTTACTGCAAACCGAATCGGTCGTACGGTAGAAAAACCGATTCGGTTTATCGTGGCAATGTATTTATAGACACTGCGTTCAGACGATTCAATATTTTGACTGATAGTGCGTCATTTTTCGTCTTTGCTTCTACCGAATCACAAGTGTTTTAAATAATTATTTTACAGTTAATTTAATTTAATTTAATTACAATTGAGTAATATAGATGATATAAATACAGAGATGCTTATATCATTGGTCGAAGCAAGACCTGCACTGTGGGATAAAACATTGGATAGTTATAAGGATAAGACATCAAAAGAATCGGCATGGAGGGAAATATGTACCATTTTAAACGAAGACTTCCAGGCATTGGACCAAAAAGAAAGGCAAAATTTTGGTAAGTCATTATAATTTTAATTATTTTAATATGAGCATTTTGTAATAAAGTCACGTTATGTTCTATATAAATGAGCTTAAAACGAAACATAAATATGTATATATAAACAAAAAAAAAGATATTTTAAATAATTAATACATTATAACTTATGTACGTATCTAATAAAGTAAATAGTAATAATATCTAATATGACGTATGTAAATCTTGATTTTGAATTTTCTTGATTTCGATTAGAGATGACTTGTATATTTATGATCGGTGTTAATAACCTATGGATTCATCTTGCCAAGGTACTGATCCAACTCCAGAGACAAAATAGTCAGCAAATGTTGCCCTGATTGAATTTGCAGAACTGCCACCTCTGATTGATTGTGCGTTTAATATATTAGGAAAACAGTTTATTTCTGGCTCTATTTGGTTACTTTGAAAATCAAATCCATCTTTTTGTCTGACAAAATTGTGTAATACTGTGCATGCTTTTACTATTCCGATAGCTGTTTCTACATTTACATCCAACGGTCTATGAAATATTCGCCATTTGTTTGACAGGATACCAAAATCGCATTCTACATATCTTCTAGCTCTAGTTAATCGATAATTAAATACACGTTTAACCTTATTTAAATGTGTTCCTCCATAAGGCCTTAATAAATTGTCATTTAATGCAAAACCTTCGTCTCCAATAATCACGAATGGAACA